GGAGAAGGGCACACAGAAAAATAATATTAGTATTAACTAATAGTACAAATATTGGAAGTTAAATAATAAATATATGTACCTGCATATAATATGATTTTTCACTTAAGTAAAAATATTTAATTGAGCACTTTATTTTGAATATAATTTTAGATGATCATTGAACTTACTATTTTTAAAAATACATCTAAATAAATAAAATAGTATATATTATCATATTTTTGAGTCGTCTTAAGTTTGATTAGTAAAACGTATTTAAATATTTTACATGTTTAGCTGAAACCCAAAAATGTTATTCAAAATTCCACTTCCAAATTGTGGAACCTTTTTTTCCGTGTAGTAGGAGGACCAGGGCAGCGACCACGAAGATTCTTCTCGTCCTAATTAATTTGTTGTGGGCTGACGTTCAGGCAAAAATCCGAAGCCGAAAAAAATGGCAGAGCCAGAAAATGGCTGCAACAGGGCGGAACGAAATGGAGGGAGAGGAGCATATATCCCGGGTGTCCTGGTGTCCTGGTGCACATCCTGCGGCAATAACTCACGACCACTTTATGCGCTTAAGTGATTTCTAATGCAAACCAATTTCCGAAATCAGGCACAAGCACTTGAAGCCAAGGACAAAAGCGGAGCGCCGACCACCCAGCGCCGCCCAGTGAAACGTTATCCCTGGAAGGAAAATCTGAAGTCAGAAAGGATATTTCGTTGATGTTGCAAACAGATGGGGAACGAGTGGGGAAGTGGGGGAGTTGGGGAGGAGCAGGCTGAATCGCTTGCCAAAGGACGCGGCCTCCACTTTCGTCTATCAGGCAAATGACAGTCGCGTCCTGCCTCGTCCTTGTCCACCCACCCACCGCCCATCACCCCCTCCTGTTTGTGTTTCCTGTGTCCTGTAGCCAGACGATGTTTGTCTTCGACTTGGTCCTGGCTTAATATCACATGCAGAACCTACAACTCTGCACATGAAACGAGAGGCCAATCCGAAGGCAGGCAGCAAAAAATTCTGGCTCAAAGCGAGTGGCTTGGGATGGAGATGGGTATCTGGAAATGTGGCCAAGAGAGCGGGACCGGGATGTGTGGACAAGGACGAGGCAAAGACAGTCAGCGGGAAAACGACAGCAGAAGCAGCAGGCAGCGGCGGAAAATCATAAAGGAAAATATTGAATTTACTGCAAAAAATGCAAATTTCTCCTTTGAGGCAAGCCTGAAATATTCACTGACTTCCAGAAATGCTGGGCAGCAAAGGGTATATTGGTTCATAGGTTAACAAACCTCAAATTGATCTAATAAATAATTTTGTAATTTATATTTTTGAGGAATAAACATTTCTTACATATTTTCTGCTTACTTTCTACATGTTTTCTACATGTTATCTACATGTTTTCAACTATTTCTGCTTAAGTTTTTTATGCAGTAATATTTCAAAGTATATAAATGCAGGATATATATTTAACAGGATATTCTTTGGGTGGAATACCCACTGCCAAGGACCGGCATCCTGCTGTCAGCTTACGCTCCTTCCGGTCCATCTTCTTTGCTGCCTAGACTAGGAACCAGGACACCAGTGGTCAGGACTACTGCCCATCTGCATCCCCCATCCTCCTTTTGGGTCCGCTGCCAATCCCAGCACACTTGTGTGTAATATTGCCACAATTTGCTGGCCAGCTCCAAGGTCCCAAGCAATAAGCCAAAAACCAGCGGCCATCATAACCCGTGTGGCTACGACTGACTCCTCGTCCTGCCGCAAACATTACGCGCTCACCTCGCCGCTGTAATCAAACATAAGGACGGGGCAGCGAGGGTGGATATGAGAGACAAGGAAAAAGCCGAAATGTTTATGAGCGAATACCGCGAGCAATAAAATTTAATATGAGCAAATGATGCGGGGAGTGGAACTGGGAAGCTGGGAGGCTTGGAAGCTGGGCGGACTGTGTAATAACCACAAATAAAAACGGCTGGCTGGGGCAATGACAATAAAGAATGAAGAGGAAAATCAAAGTTATGCAATGGCCCCCCGCTGGAAGTCAGTGTATGTATGTTCCTTTGTGAGCTATAAAATTAACAATTCAATGAAGTGAATTCGAAATGGCAAATCGAAAAGCGTAGAAATCGAAGCGAAAGGGAGCTGGCTTTGGACCTAGAATAGAAACCAACCACCCAGCCATCCAAAAAAAAAAAAAAAGAAAGAAAGAAAATGTCTACAAGCACACAGTCGGCGGGGCTCATAAAAAGAAATTGCGTATATGTTTAGGAGTACGAAGTACGAAGCCAGACGCACAATAAAAATTAAAATAAAATACGAAAATAGAAGCCCACAAAAACTTTTCCCCAGCAGCTGTAACAATTACGAGTGTGCGAGTTACTTCGTTGGTTTTAATTTTGATCGCTCCCAGGAAAAGAATTAACTTATTACACAAGGACATCATTTTTCCTTTTGCTGGTTTTTGTGTGCTTTTTTAGCTTTTTTATGAAACTGCAGGAGGCTATTGTTGAAAGACCACCTTGCAAACACAATGATGATTTTGCACGCTTGTTTTTAAAAGCTTTTTTCGAAAACTGCATGCAAAATAAAGCAAGTAATTTTAAAAATTCCTTTTAATACAAAATATTTGTACAGAAAAGCATTCCTTTTAAATTGAATAAAACATTTATTTTTGTAATATTTTTTTTTTAAACCAGCATGGCATTTCGGGCAACTTTATTAGTGAATGGAACTTCACCAGTTCCTGGCTAAAAAAAAAGTATAAAAAATGTAGTTGGGCAAAACAAAGGATTTTAACTCTGAAAACCCAGTTAATTAAAAGTTTTATATAAACAGAAAATGTATAAATAAATATATTAAATAAACAAAAAGGGATGTTATAATATCTAATTAATATGCATCATTTTATTAAGTACATAAACTAAAAGATTTAATATTAACTTAAGCTTCCCCAGAAATTCTACTCCAAATAATTGCTAAGATGAGTGAAAACCAAATATAGTTTCGCATAAATAACGCGTAATTTGCGCAGAGTTGTGGCTTCATTTTTATTCAAAACAAAATGCACTCGAAATGCCTCAATAATTGTTATGTCATATGTTGATTTTAGCTGCTGGTTTCGTTGTTCTGTGTGACCGTGTTGTTGCCTAATGAAATCGATAGAAAGGCGGAGGCGTCTTTTGTTTGCACGCCGTTCGCTAAAATGTTTGCACTTGGCTTAAACGCAAAATTTGCTGATATTTGGCAAACAGGCAAAAGGATGCCCGAGAATGCAGAGTGCAGAATGCAGAAGGCAGAATGCAGCGATGCGTTGTCAATGGCAGCATCTGCGGTTTTCCAGGGGCGTCGTGTTTTCAAAGGGGGTGAAAAGGGGGGCAGTTTGAATTGTTCATATTTTGATTAATTTCTCTGTGCGCTGCGACTCCTTGCGGTGGCTGCTGTTTTGTTGTTGCTGTTTGTCAAGCGGAGTAATTGCAAAATCCAGTGCGTATGTGTGCTGCAATTATGCTCACGCACACATTGCCACACAGCCACACACACGCACACACTCGCAAACTTAAGCACACATGCAAACTGCAGTTAAGCAAATAAAGCGCTAAAAGCATAAACTAAATGAATTAAACGACACAACCGACACAGAAAGAGGCTTGCAAGCCCTGCATTATATATGTATGACCATACACATATAAAAAAATATATATTAATATTAATTTAATACTGCTAAATTAGTGTGAGAACGATGAAGAAATGACGCCTGCTCATAACTTTCAAATGAGTGAGTAGTCCCATTTTACAAATTTGTTCTATTACTATAAATATGCTTTATTATTAATTTTCGTAACTAAACTAAATATACTAAACCTAATTAAAAGAACTCTAATATCTTTTAATTTTTTGTTTTCAACGGTGTATGTACAGATGATGGCCAACCACCCCCATTTTGCTGGAACTTTCTATAAAATATGAGATAATAAAAAGTGAATTATGTTGCCGCACAGCCGCTGAAACCAGCGGAAACGGCGCAAAAACAGAAAAAAGAGGAGAAAAGCATGAATCTCACAGATGAGGAACAACAAATAAATGCGAGTGCAAACATAAAGCAATAACAGCATCAACAGGATCCCAGCAGCAGCAGCAACAACAGTTAATTGCAATTGTTTGTTCGCCAGTTAGTTTTTTATTTGCACTTTAATTATGAAAAATAGGAGCTGCGGACCAAGGCAGCGAGCACAGCGGCAGAAACTAATTTTCATAAGTACACAACTTTGTGCTGGGAAAGCAGGCCAAAATGAGGAGGAGCAGAGACACATGACTTATGACAAAACACAAAAGTTGATGGCCAAGACTACTGGTCCAACCAGCTACAAACTACCAACTACCACTGGCCACTCCGGAGACACAAAGGAGCCCACAGGAAACAAAATGAAATGGATGAAATAAAGCGGAGCACTCCGACCAGAGCAAATAAGCAAACAAATAAAGTTATAAATAATAATACCAGAAAATTATGATGGAAGCCGGACGCTTAAGTGAAAAGCTCCGCAGCCAAGGCGACTCCATGGAAATCTTACATAACTTTGCAAATCAAATGAGGGAATGAGGGGAGGGGGGAAAAGTCACAGAAAATGCAGTGCGGACTTCAAACAACGAAATAAAAGCCATTACAAAGATATTCCGGTATTCTTACGTAATTTTTGGAATTTTACATCATTTCGAATGAAATAATTCAACAATTAGGCAGTAGGAAAATATTTTTGTATGCCATAAATCAACTCTTAATGGTAAAATGTATTGATTGTACATTTAATGTGGCCTAAAATATATTACATTTTACAAATCAATATTATTTGCTAAATTAAAAGATTTCGAACTACTAAAAGATGTAAAAATACTGTGAAATAGCAACCCTGGCTAACAACTTCTCTGCCTGCCCCCCGATTGTTGTTCAGTTAACTCCGAGTCTCGATTGCCAGGAGAGCTCCAATTCGTACATTTATAAGATTCTAACAAATTTCTATCGAAAATGAATTCGTGCTGCGGCTTCCGTTGTCCCTGTGACGACGGCATGGATGTATCGTGTGTGAGCCAGCAGGATCGCCGGGTCATGAAGATGGCTAGGAAGCCGCCGCTGATGACGCTGCTCAAGAGGATGCCGCCGAAGCCGCAGAAGGCGGCCCGCTTGTTCCAGCCCAAGCTGGAGAGGAACAAGGCTCCCTCGATGGTGGCCTCGCGCAAGGAAAGGGTCAAGGATATCAAGGTGGTGGCTCCGCCGGCTGCCGGGGGCCCAGGAACGGTATCGGGATCGGGACCACAAACTGGACGCAACCATCGTGGTGGCCGGCTCTTCGATCGCCAGTCGGGATCCAATTGCACCGGCGTGAAGGCGGTGGACAAACGCAAGGGGGGCGGGGCCCACAACTGGGGATCGCCGGAGCAGGAGATCGAGTTGGCCCATTGGCGCACCTCCTCCAAGAGGAGCAAGCCAACCAGGAATGCGTATGTCCAGTCGAAGTTGCTCGAAGGCGGGGAGGATTCTTCAGAGGAGCCCGAGCAATTCACACTGGACGAGTGGCGTGCCATGCAGAAGAAGAAATGGCTCGAGAAGGATCAGGAGAAGCTAGCCGAGAATGATAAGGCATCAGAGGGTTCTGTAGGATCAGGGGGGTCGGGGGAACGACGTTCTAGTCGCCTGGTCGACATTCGTTTTAATTTCTACACCAAGCCAGGACCCATTTTGAAGATCAGCGACGATGACTCGGAGTTCTGCCCAAAGGTCGGCGATGAGGGGCAGTTCCCGAACCTTTCCTAAGTCAGCATATTCAAGTTGTATTCAAATTTTGGTATTTTAAGTGACATTCGTTTGAGTCACTTCATTGTGTTTGAGTATTATATTAAAAATACCAAATAAAGGCTAAAGAAGAGTTTTATTGAAACATTGAAAATTCTAGAAGGATAATAAATAATAGTTTTGTCAAAATTAACGCAATTTCTGAAAGTAGCATTTATTTTAGAGATCCTTTTATGGTTTTTCGTTCTGTTTTTCCAACCATCCGCCATTTTAATCGCCTTACTATTTTCCGCACTCTTTTTCGGGGCTACGAAATAACCGAGAAAACCTTTAAGTCTCTTTAAGGTTGTTCGCACACTTTCGAATGGAATTTTCCGACGTCACCGCAAAGTTTTCAGTTTTCCATGTTGTGTTTCCGCTTGTTTCCCTCCTAGTTTCAGCTTTTTGTGTTCTCTTCACCATGTTACATTAAATTGAACAAATTCTAGCGAAACAAAAACAAAAGCAGCAACTGCGGACTATAAGAAACTGTGGAGCTCGAGTGCAAAAAATAGAAAGAAAAAAAGTCTGCAAACTTTTTGCGCGGCCTACACTATGTCCCCTTTTCCCATACTTTATTTCTCCGTCCTGCTCGCACTAATTACAGCACACGTTAGTTGTCGAGCGCGGGAAAGGGACGGCGATAGATGGAAGAACTCTCTGCGGAACTGCAAATTAAATGAAATTCTAGAAAGTTTTTTAGTTACCCATTTTTTCACGCGGCTGTTATTAATGAAAATCAGAGCTGGTATTTTTACTTGATTTTCCCAGAGTCCCCTGGACTCGAATCGAACGTGATTTTTCCCCACACCACCACGTTTCCATAACTGGCAACCAATTAGGAAGATGCCGAGTCGAAGTAAGCGAAGCAGATCTGAAGTTTTTGTTAACATGATGAATACATTTCGACCGGGGCGACTGGAGGTGGAGGTGGAACTGAAACTGGGTGCTTGTTAAAATTGATTGCCGGCAAAAACAAGGCGAAAGCAACAACTGCTTAGGCATGTTACCTTTTTGCCGCTTTTCCAACCAGGCAGCAGGCTCGAAGAACATTGATTTATATTTGTATTGACACTTCGACCCCCCTGCGTCCTCCGGAAAAAGCCCCTTTCCAACAGAACTGTTTGCCTATCGCACGAATTTGTCCTTGTCATTGTTTTACAAGCCGTCCCTTTTCACGCCCACCCTCCCACTTTTCCTCCAGAAAAATCGGAGACAAGTGAAGGAACGTCAGGCAGACAGCAGAAGCAAGAGGAAAATCGATTAGGCAACAAGGAGTTAAGTTTGGGGTAGTCACTTCAAGTACCCTTCAGTACTTTTATGAGAAAAGGTTTTTTTAAAAATGTATAAAAACTAAAAATGTTATTTCAATCGATTACTGACACCAACTAACTACTGCACCCAAAATATAAAATTCTATTCCTTATTTTCCAAAAAAATATCAGTATTTTGGCCGTAACAATGGAAGTATTGATCCAAATATGGATTGTCACACCTTTCTGAACTCGTTATTAAATTTCCCAACGATTGGCATTTAAACCTTGACATTTTATTTATTTTTAATTTTTCGCAAAAAATCATGGGGTACCCCCCTTATAAAAAAATTAAAAATTGGCGAAAATTTTATTTTTCCAAAATTACACGGAAAGTGTTATGGATTTATTGATAATTTTGTTATCTATTCAAAACAGTATTTATTTTTGGTGTAGGACCATTTTTGGCCAAGTTACAGCAAAAAAAAACAAAAGAAAAAAATCCAATTTTTGTCAAAAACTGAAATCGCGAATTTCCAAAAAAAACAAAACCCGTTTTTTCGCTAAAACAAAGCAAATACTGATTCAAAGTATGGATTGTCACACCTTTCTGAACTCGTTATTAAATTTCCTAACGATTGGCATTTAAACCTTGACAATTTATTTATTTTTAATTTTTCGAAAAAAATCATGGGGTACCCCCTTATAAAAAATTAAAAATTGGCGAAAATTTTATTTTTCCAAAATCACACGGAAAGTGTTCTGGATTTATTGATAATTTTGTTATCTGTTCAAAACAGTATGTATTTTTGGTGTAGGACCATTTTTGGCCAAGTTACAGCAAAAAAAACCAAAAGAAAAAATTCCAATTTTTTTCAAAAACTGAAATCCCGAATTTCCAAAAAAAAAACCAAACCCGTTTTTTCGCTAAAACGAAGCAGTTTTTTCGCTATAACAAAGCAAATACTGATTTAAAGTATGGATTGTCATACCTTTCTGAACTCGTTATTAAATTTCCTAACGATTGGCATTTAAACCTTGACAATTTATTTATTTTTAATTTTTCGAAAAAAATCATGGGGTACCCCCTTATAAAAAATTAAAAATTGGCGAAAATTTTATTTTTCCAAAATCACACGGAAAGTGTTCTGGATTTATTGATAATTTTGTTATCTGTTCAAAACAGTATGTATTTTTGGTGTAGGACCATTTTTGGCCAAGTTACAGCAAAAAAACCAAAAGAAAAAATTTCAATTTTTACAAAAAAACCCAGAACCAAATTTTCACAAAAAAATAATTAGTTTTATGCCCATTTTTAAAAAATTTCAGTTAAAAAGTCTTTTTTTAATAGCAAATTTACTAAAAAGCAAAGCTAGCAAAATTCCAGAAAATATGCTTATAAATTGTGTAAAATATGTGCGATCTGAGACCACAAACTATTCAGCAGAATTGAAGCCTCTGATTAAAGTTGAATGGGAAAAAGCTACACAATGGCAGGCATGTAGAGAGAAATGGTAATGATTGCATAATTTTTGTGGGCACTGGGTCACACTTGAATAGTCTCGTTTCCGTCAACTGAAATTATTTCAAAGCTGACACGAGAAATTACCATTGATAAATGCCGGAAATGTGCTGCCCATGCCCTCATACCAATCTGACTCCCGCTTCCAGTCCCACTTGCCCACTTTTGACCCACTTTCGACCCACTCCTGTTCATTTGCGGTGCGGCTGGAGGTTGGAGGGCATGGCCGGGGATTGGGATTCCGGAGGATCCTCCTCCTCCGCCACGGAGCCAGCTCACAATGGCCATGCAAATTGGACATGGCTGCAGCAGAACTCCCACTTCCACTCCCACTCTTACTCCCCAATCCGAATCCCTGGCCGAATCCCATGCCGATTGCCGGACCCGGGTCATGTTTGTGTGGCGTGTGTTTGTTTAACTTGGTCATCAAGTCAAAACAAGAGGCGGAAAAGAATGGGCAGCGGAGGGGAGTGGCGGCAAAAAGAGGACAACTTGTGCCGTTCGTTGAATGCAACATGATTGGAGGTTTCTTTTAAAGGCTTCGGCTTCAGCTTTGGGTTTGGGTTTGGGTTGGCACTAATTCACCGACGGCTTCCTGCAATTAATGTCGATGTCAGCATCGATTGACAAGTTGACTTCGCCTGGAATGGCCAACAACACAGCACGATAAGTATCGTGAGGCGCTGAAAAATAAATGAATGGCTTGGGGGCTTTCAAATTGAATTTGGAACTAGTGAATATTTAAATTCAGTTGTCTTTTGGGGGGTAATGTTAGCATTAACAGAGTTTGGAGTTTATTTAAAGTAAGATCATTACCTAATCAATAAAACCACACCCATGTTTATTGAAAACATTTATAACAAAATAATAAAATAAAGTTTATTTACAAGTAAGATTTTAACCAAAAAATATAATTGTTAGCTTATATTAATTGTGAAAAAAAAACAATATTATCGATAAGAAATATTCCGAAATAATATTTTGCGATTAAATGAATCCTAATAAGTGTTATAAATATTTTTCCATTAGCTATTTTTTTCAATATTTCGTCTCTCACTTGGCCCCCTAGATTTTCCCTTATCGCTGTCTTATTTGGCCTCTCTTATTTCCTTCTTGGTCATAAGATAGAGTGGTTTATTTTTGGACGCCCGACTCTGGCGATCGATGGCTCCGAGTTATTTTTGACATGTCGCCCTGTCAACGTCAACACAACGCTGACATCCAAGTGGCAGGCCAACACCTGAGACATGGCTTCCAGCCGAATTTCCCATTTCCCACTTCCCATTTCCCGCTTGCCGTTCGCCTTCGCCATTTCCCAATGCCACTTGCCACTTGCCATTCGAGAGCGTCGCTCCGAGTGCCTAATGATGCGGCAGAATGTCGGAAGGAAGGGTGCCTGTGCCCTGTGTTTGTTTATCTAACGAGTAAATACGATTTTAATTAAATGTAAATCACATTGTCAAGCCACACACACACTCAAAACACACACATTGACGCCATACAAGCCATAAAAGTTACTCCGGAAAAGCGGCAAAGTGGGTGGAAAAGTGGGGGGCATCAACACCATCTACAATTTGAGTTACACCAGCTGCCTGCTGGGCGGAAGAACATATATTGCTTTCGCATGTTACTCATACGCCCCGTTGCCCTGCTCAAACTCAGAGACTCAAACCCTCGCAAATCCAACAAAACTCCATCTTCTTCAGCCATAAGCCATGGCCAGGACAGGCCAAAACACCCTTGAGATTATTAATTAAAAGACAAGAAAACATAATTTCTAAATTTCCATACAAAAACCAAAGGCAAGAGCCAAAAAACAAAAGGGGGAGGAGGAGAAAGGAGAAAGTAGGGGAGAAAAAGAGAATTGGTTATTGTGCAACTCAGATGGCAGATGGAAGCTCACATGACAAGAGATATATACGTATATATTTGTCATATCGGATTGCAAAGTTAAAGAGAAAGACAAAAGAAATTAAGGAAATTTCCTAACGTTTGAATTCCATTGGTTTTACAACACTTAAGCTGGGCTCAACCGATATGTTTTTAGATACTTACCTAATCAATGATATGTCAACTCTTTATCCACCTCTAGTAAAACTTTCAATCTATGTACTAAAAAAATGAATAATCAACCGAAGAAGGAAATTTGCAAAAACTTGGGCAGTTCTTCGGACAGAGTGGCGGTGTCGCACGTCATTTATGTCAAGAAGGTTAAGAGCTCCTCAGTAAATCCACTATTCACATAACCACCTCTTTATTCG